CTTAGGGAGCAGTCTCTCCTCTCTCCTGAGCCTACAGCTGACTGCTTTTGCCAGAGATGTCAAGGAGTTGAGAAGGACCCATGGCTTGTCCACTACTGTGTTTCTCACAGCACCCAACAGAGTGTCAAGTGCAGAGTGTATATTCTCTCTCTATATATATACATATATATGTGTGTGTGTGTGTGTCTGCGTGTGTGTGTTTGTGTGTGTGTGTGTATACATATAGTGCATTTTGATCAGAGTGCACATCTACAGGAACTAAGAGGAACCAACACAGCACATCCTCCACCCCTACTTAATGTTCAGTGACACTCAGGCAGAGGAAGAAGGAGGGTGGTGCTCCAGGCCATATGACTAGTATGAGAGTCAGAAAAAGGACCCTGGTCCTTAACTTCTTGCTTCTCTCCATATACGCTCTTTCCAAGGAAATTAAATCTCTAGCTGAAGAGAGGCATAATTCAAAGAACTAACCTTGAGGACAGTAGAAATATGAAAAAAAGTCCTTTCCTTGTCTCTTTTGAAATTGAATTTTTTTTCTGGTTTCTTCAAGTATTGAGATTGACATTGAATTTTAAAGTCTGTTGGGGGAGAGTTGTTCTATTGTATGTGGTGAGTATACATACATACGCACACTTCTTTGTGCATATATGTGTCCATCTGTAGCGTTAAATCTTATGTGTGTGTATATCGCATTGTATATCTTATATATTATACATTTAGCATTATCATATATATGTATATAGCATGTATGTTGTATAGATATGTGTGTATGTATAAGTAACATCTATATACATACACATATGTGTGTATGCATACGTATATTTTATTTTTTTAATTCTTTTTGGCGACTCTTCTCCTTGCCTAACATATGTATATTTTATATACACACACACACACACACACACACACACACGCCTGGTCAGTTACTGGGTTTGGCTGATGAAAAGTTTTATTTGCATGGAGAACCAAAACGCTCCACCGGATGATTGCATCCTAATTAAGACGTGAGTGTGCAGAGCACCCGCTTGGTTGCAGAAGAGTAGGGCTACATTAAAGGACAGCACTGGGTGCTGCCTGGAGGGCTGCTGCTCAGTGCTTCTGCCTGCGCTTCCTGCTCTGTTCCCAAAGTCCCCTCTCTGACCCATGGTGTCAGCAGGCCGAGGACGCTGGGGAAAGGCCTGCAGCGACCTCAGGGAGGGAAGGGAGCTGCCGCTGTAGGGGGCACTGTGGCGGCCCTGGACGCAGGCACGAGAAGAAAGCAAATGGCATTTCTTCAGTGCAACCGGGTAAGAGCAGAGCCAGGGAATCGCCATCTGCTTGTCCCTCGCCCTTTCGGCCAGACCGACCCCCTACCCAAGCTCTAGACCCCAGCTGTTGGGCTCTGAGGGAGTCCCTTTTTCCACTCAAGTCTGGAACCAACGGAGAGAGCCGCAGGCGTCAGGCAGACGAGGACGACAACTCCATCCTCACTACTCATAAAGACTGGGTGGGAAGATGGATCTTAGATGGGCGGCGAGGAGGAGCTTTCCGAAGCCCGGGCCCGGGAGGCAGGGCGCGCTGCACTCACGCCTGCCCGCCTGAGGCCGCCAGTGGAGAGACACAGACTCGGAGGAGCGAAATGGGGGCGCTCTGCTGGCAGCTCAGGCCCAAGAGAGGGAGAAACTGAGGCAAACCCCCCTCTCCAAACTCGGCGTTCTCTGAAGTCACCCATTTTCCCCCGGGATGGGTGAGTCGAAGGGGACGGAAAGGCCAGCAATGTCGCTGTAATGGAAGGCCTTCCCCAAGAAGGGAATGTCGCGAGTGGCGAGCAAGCATTCCCCCAATGTGAGTCAAGTCACAAGCCACGCTGAGTGCGACGGTGGAGGCTCTCCCAGTGGCTGTGGGAAAGGACGCCCTTCCTCCCTAGGCTCCCTACTCCTCCCGCAGACAGCGCTCCCACTTCCTGTGCTCACTCTGTGCACGCCCCTCTGGACTTCCGGTCTTGGCACTGCTCTCGCGTGAGGGGAAGGAGCCATGACTAAACCCAGGGTTTTTACTCCAAGGCCTTGGGGGAAGCGGCACTTTCCACACGGTAGAAGAAGATGAAGAAGGAGGGGCACATCAGACTGGTGTGTTGGTGAAGGATGGCTGCCTCCTAAGCTCTTCCTCGTCTCCCCAAAAGGGGTGCAGGTCACAGGCAAAAGTATCCTAAATCATGGTCATGTTCCACATCGCTCACTGTTCAGAGCTAGAGGGGAATTGTGGTATACTATGAAATATATTTGTCCTTGGTTCCTGTCACAGAGCTCCTAAAACCTTTCCTGAGAGATGGGAGTGTCGTTAGCTGTTCTTAATAACCCACTTTGGGACACACCTGAGTTTATGCTAATTTGTGACTTAGGGTGGGGCTCCCAGATAGCTCCAGGATGGGGCTGTTCCCAGAGGGACCAGTTGATTGGCGGGTTGGAACCTTCAGCTCCGCCCACTGACCTCTGGGAAGGGTGGGAGGGGGAGCTGGAGATGAAGTTCTACAAAACTCTTGCACAGTAAGATCTGATGAGCTTTGGGATCGCTGAGCACAGTGGAGGTGCCAGGAGGGTGGCACCCCAAGAGGGCATGGAAGCTCCACCACGCCCCTTCCCACATACCTTGCCCTATGTGTCCCTTCCGTCTTTTTGTCTGTAACCGTTGTGATATCCTTTATGATAAACCGATAAGCATTTTTTTCTTGAGTTTTGTGCGCCATCCTAGCAAAATAATCAGACACTTGGAGGGGTAGTAAGAACTGCGATTTATAGTCAGTTGGTCATTACTATAAATGACAACTTGGGACTGGCATCTGAAATGGGGGCTCTGGGGCTGAGCCCTTAATGTGTGGGACATGATGTTATCTCCAGGTAGATAGTGTCAGGATTGAACTGAATTAGAAGACATCCACCTGGGCTCTGCTGGAGAATTGCTTGGTGCTTGAAGAAACCACCATCCGTTATAGAAGTATCCTCTGTTGAGTGTAAGTAGAGAGAAAAAACTTTGGTTTTCCCTCAGAGGAATCAAATGAGCCAACGCTAGAGTACACTTTTGGATTTACAAAGCTCAACTTTCCCCAGTAATCTTCATTCGTTGAGCGCCTATGAAGTAGAAGGCCATGTCCTAGGTGCTGGGGACACAAGGCACACTCCCTAACTCTAATGAGATTTACATGAATCTGTGAGTCAAGCAGGAACCTGCTGAGCATCTATTATGCACCCCCTTGTGCCAGGTGCTCAGGAAACACCTGAGACTTGCCCCTCCAGCCTGCCAAATGCAACAGTGAAAGGACTGATATTGAACCACCTAGGAGAAAAGCCTGATTCCCTTTGCTTTGAGGAGAGATTCCTACTTCACAGATTGCCTGGGGGTGGAAGACAGTTTAGGAAAACAAAATAAACGGGCTGATTCGATAACTAAAATGACATGTCTCTCATGGAAGACTGCACAAATTCTGAAGAAGTGTTGGTGTGTGCATCCTTAAGTAGGCAAAACCATTCTAAAAAATAAAATATAGGCCGAGTGCGGTGGCTCACGCCTGTAATCCTAGCACTCTGAGAGGCCGAAGCAGGAGGATCATTTGAGCTTAGGAGTTTGAGACCAGCCTGAGCAAGAATGAGATCCTGTCTCTACTAAAGATAGAAAGAATTTAGCTGGACAACTAAAAATATATAGAAAAAATTAGCCAGGCATGGTGGCGCATGCCTGTAGTCCCAGCTACTGGGGAGGCTGAGGCAGGAGGATCGCTTGAGCCCAGGAGTTTGAGGTTGCTGTGAGCTAGGCTGATGCCGAGGCACTCTAGCCCAGGCAACAGAGTGAGACTCTGTCTCAAAAAAATAAAATAAAATAAAATAAAATGCAGTGGCTTTAAAAACGTGAAAAGGGTGAGAGTCTGCATCCTGCCCTTTATGGGGGCATGACTGCTGACCCTACCCTGGCTCTAAGAGAGATGGATCTGTACATTTTTAGACACCATAGAAAGATTTCTTTCTGCCTGGGCTTCTTCAGAGCATTTTACATTTTGACAAAATTTTAAAACAACACAGCAGGCAAAAGAATAAAGGCTTTTTTCCCCTCCTTTAGTCTCAATATAACTGTGTATAAAGGGCGGAGAGCAAAAAGTTCATGTTCAGAAGCTCAGGGACTATTTGCAGCTCCCTAATAAGCAAAACTTTTTTGGCCATCTACTCACCCATTCATTTTTGTTATATCAAAACCTCAAAAACCTAAGGGTAGGCACATAGTAGGTGCTCAGTGAGGGCTTATTGAATGGATGGATGGATGGATGGATGGATGGATGGATGGATGGATGAAATATCCAGCTATCAGTCCACAGTCCATCCAACTTACCATGAGCACAGAGTGACTTCTGCAGACATTATCTTGTTTACTCTCCACCAGAGACCGGAAGCAGAGAAGTTCTTGTGTGCTGACCTCTTAAGGGGAAGAAATTGAATAGAGAAATAGAATGAACTCGTTCCAAAACACTGCTGAACCCAAGAAACAGAGAAGTGGAGAAATGTGCAACTCAATCCCTCTAAACCCACCTCCAGCTCCATAATTATCTCAGTTAAGCTGGGAGCAGAGGTGCGTGCCTGTAGACCCACCTACTTGTGAGGCCGAGGTGGGAGGACCACATTAGCCCCGGAATTCGAGGCCAACCTTGGCAGTAGAGAGAGATCCTGTTTCTTAAAAAAATAATAATAATAATTACCCCAGTTTAATTACAAAAATTAATTGAGCTTTTACTATGTGCCAGTAGCTATGGCTACCAAAGTGAGTAAGACCACACTCTCCTATTCTTCCAGCTCATGTCCCACCATCTTGTCTCTGACCAATGGCTCATTCCACCTTCGTTTTCCTATCTATGAATTTAGAGTTCCTAGTCAAACATGATGCTAATCACTCCTTTGCAATGCCTTCAACTCCCACTCCCTCTCTCCCCTGTTGCACACTTTGGCAAACCTTCACTTGTGAATGAAACCTAACACTCCTCTCCTCTGTGCCAGCTCAGCACTGCAGGAGAAAGCCACACGACTGTGCCAACTGATGTCACTTATAATACATGACTGAAACCCATCCCTCTCCCAGTAATCCGATTTCAGTAAATGGCACCACGGCCCACCTGGGTACTCAAGCCAGAAATAACTCTTGAAATTCCCTTTTACCTCACGCCCCACATTCAAACTGTCACCAAGGTATTCATATGGTGTCCAGCAGGAATCTGAAGTCCACCTCTTCTGTTCATCTTCATCTGCCACCGCCTTGTCTAGGTCTCTGTCACCTCCCGCCTGCACCACTGAGATTGTCTCTGAATTGGTCTCCCATTTTCATTCTGGTCTGCTGGTTTATTCACTGAAAGAACGAAAGTGAACTATTAGCTCCTAAAGTGGATCGTGTTTGCAGCATGTCTACCTGCCATATGTACACACCCTCACCCTTACCACTTCAGTGCTCACTAACCGGACTTCCAAATGCCACAACCCGTATTTCTTTGCCAGAAGGTTTTCTCTGGTCTTGAAGCTGCTTTGGCCACCCTTGAAGCAGGCTAGAAATGCCTGCTTGTGCCCCTTGTCCCCCAGCAGACCTCAAACAATGCCTGACAGGATTGGGTATGTAAATACCCCAGTTCTCTTACTCCTCAAGTGGGATAACTTAAGGGGCACAGTCTATACTGGCTCCCAGAGCTCCCAGAGGGACTAAGCTTTGGTTGTCCACAGTGATAACTTGATTTATCACACATCCTTCACTGCCTCAATCCCCCACTCCTCTACTGACGCTTCCTATATCACCTCCAAAGAGACTACTTTGACTTAGTATTCTTCTGGAAAAAACCAGACTAAGGCAATGTCTCATCCTTGCCTGCAATCCTTACTATGGCATACCACTGCCTTTAGGATAAAATTCAAAATCCTTAATTTTTCCTAGAAATTCCCACATAATTCTCCTACATACCTCTCAGTTTTCACCTCCCATCATGCTCTCCTTCCCCACACCACTGGCATCACATTGCCCCCTTTCAGTTCCTTGAATATTCTAATCCCTTTGCTACCTCAGGGCCTTTGCACACTCTGTCCCCTTGGCCTGGATCACCCTCAGCTCCAGGTCCAGGCATAACCTCACATGCATGCCTGGCCCTCTTCCTCCAAGTCCCAGCTCAAATGCCCTTCCTCAGACAGGCCTTCCTTCATAACTCATCTTAACTGGGTTTTCATGTTATCCTCACCCTTTATCTCCTTCATGACACTTACCACAATTTGTAACCCTGTTTGTGTGTTTTCTTGTCTAAGCTCTGTGTCTCCCCACCAGACTGGAAGCTCCAAGAAAGCAGAGATCATCTCAGCTTTCTCCACCAGGACATAGCAGAGGGCCTAGCACAGTGCAAGCCATCAATACTGACTTTATTTTCTTCAAGAGTGAACAAAGACATGATCCTTGCCCTCAAGGAGCTCATAGTATAGTGGAAGAAGCTTGTATATAAACAGATAATTTTCAAGAGGTGTCAGAGGTCAGATAGCCATAAGTAGAAGGCACTAACAGAGCACAAAGCCCACAGTGGTGGATGAAAGAAATGACACTTTGTTTTACTGATCCAATAGCCTCTAAGTTACATGAAGTTCAAAAAGTAAACAAGTCCTTCTGTCTCCCTTCTATGTCCTCAGCGCTGGACATAGTGCACAGCTCAGGTTAGATTGCATTAGAAATATTCATTGCTTGAATGAATAAGTGAATGAATGAATGAATATTTGTACTCTCTTTCTGAGTCAGAATCAAAATCTGGGTTTAAAATTTTTACATATATTCTAAAATTCAAAATAATTAAAATACCCAGCCACAGGAGAAATATAAAGAAAATCATGGTACATCCTCTTACTTGAAAAAAATATGTAGCCATAAAAAAAAGCACACATCAATGAAGAATTTGTAATAAGATAAAAAATGTTGATAATATCAATGGGGAAAAGTAGGATTCAACATTATATGTACAGTAGAAATACTGTCATGTTAAACACAAAGCACCAAAATTTGTCTGAAAATAAGCAAAAATCTTGAGCTGTTTTTCTTGTTACTTCATTTTACCCTTTTGTGGATTCTAAGTCATCTACAGTATAATAAAGCTTTTCGTTTAAGGGATATAGCTCATAAATCTGGCCAGGAATTCTAGAAATCAAAATAAAAGATAGAACTGATATACCAACGTTAATATTTGCTTTGAAATAATTACCACATAGAAAAAAAAAATACATGTATGTAATAAATCTCATTAATCCCTCCCCCGCGCCTCAGGGAATTGTTTCTAAAGTTGGTTTATGTATTTATTTAATTATTAATTAAATAATTGATAAATACTATCAATATTATACATATAAATAAATATATAATATATAAATAATATTGAATTTTAGAATATATGGTAAAAATTAAACCCAGATTTGATTCTGACTCAGAAAGAGAGTACAAATATTATCTCATTCATTCCTATTCATTCAAGCAATGAATATTTCTAATGCAATCTAACCTGGCTGTGCACTACTGTCCCGCTCCGCTCGA